TTGCCCTGTCCGACGTCTCCCTTCATCCACTTTTCGGTTGTCTGTCCCCCAGGGAGGAGGTCACACACAGTTCCATGTAATCGGTTCTCCCCTTCTGAATTCTGTGTACTGCACTGGCCACACGATCGTGACAGCCAAAAGACCCCAGAGGAGGAAGAATGATGGGACTCCACAAGCTCTTGCCCGTTCCCTGGTCTTCATCCTGCTGGATGTCGAGGGATTCTTATTGGTTGGGCACACACACAAAGACCTCTTTTCCTTCCGAAACTTCTCTGCTACTGATGAGCCTCTATAGTCAGCTGCCAGCCTCCACTCAGTACCCACCTGGGCTGTCCCAGGGCTGGCTCTATCCTCCACCAGGGCTTAGTTGACCTCCTCAACCCCTCTATCAATACACAAAGGAGTTGCCTCAGAAAGGGACCCTTTTCTTTTCCCAGAAGACACTGGGTGGTCCCCTCAGAGCTCTGGTTTTGCCCCACATCCACAAGTCCCTGCTGTGCTTGCTGGTCACAGCCCCTGCATCTGTGTCTGCACCCCAACCCCTGTTCAAACCTGTTTGTGTGGTGTTTCTGTTTCCAGGCTTCCCCTATGGGGTCGTTGCTCTCCCTGAAGGCTGTCTCTGCCAGAGCATTCACTTCCTGCACTACTTCGTGGTTCGTGAACAGCTGAACATGTACCCCGAGGGGCCAGTAAAATCCAAAATGAAATGCGTGGTGCTGGGCACAGATGCCTCCGTCCACCTGGTGACGGCCACGGGGACCCAAGGACCCACCATCAGGGTGCTTGTTGAGAGGTCAGTGGCTGGAGGGCAGGATGGAGCAAATGGCCACCAGACAGATGGTGGCACTTGGCAGTATCAAAACAATGTCCTCACCGCTGGCCGCAGGGGCTCCACTTCCCTCACAGTTATCACTTGCCCAGACAGCGTCTCAAGATCACCAATGGCTTGTTTTTTTGTTTTAGGTAATTAAAAGGCAATGTGTGCAATGATACAAATTACTATTTTCACATCCTGGATCATCATAAAGAGGATTCTATTTCTGTTAAAAAAAAACCATCTAATCTTTCATCAGTTTCCTTCTGGGCTTGTTCGTAAAATTTAAGATATTTTCAGCTTGTGAATGAAGCAATACGATTTATATATCCAGTGTGAAGGATAATGAGCTACAAGTCCCTCTCCCCAACCCCAAGCCCAAGACAGATCATTTCCTGTTCCATCAAGGTGCCCTGCATACTGTTCCTGCATTTCATCCTTCTCCCTCTTCCCTGGAAGGTAACTGCTTTTGAGGTATGGATTGCTACATAGCCAACCACCCAATGCTGACTGGCTTAAGACAGCAGTCATTATCAACTGCAGCAGGCCAGCGATTTGGCCGGGGCTCAGTTTGCCTTTCTCACCGGGCAAAGCTGGTCACATGAACCAGCCGATAGCCATGCCAGGGAAGAGTGCCAAACGTACCCTTACTGGGGTTCCAGTGCATACATGCACGAATGCGATGGGAGGGTTATTGTGCCAACGAGGCTTCCATGGGAACATGTGGGTGCAGTTTCATCAGGTTGCAGTTTGATGGGAGGGTACAAGATAAACGGCTTTCTTCCTTCTTTCTCCCCGTCTGGGGGACCAGTGCTGTGCTGCCTGAGCTCATCCTTTGCCTCCACTCTGCGCTGCCCTATTGTGGGCCGAGCTTGAGGTCCCATCGAGACCCGCTTCACGGTGGTTCATGAGGATCCATCGGACTGCTTCCTCTGCTGTCGTTCGACCAGCCGCTGGTGCGCCTCCACTTCTCCTCTTCCTGCTGTAGCTGCCCCACCCTGCTTGTCTTGGCAGAGGGCACATTCCACTGTTTCTTTGACCTTGGACCAGTAGCCCATGGGAGTTGAAGGGCCTTCAGAATGCTATCTGTTCCATGAGATCGAGTTGAATTGGGCCCTCTGTGGGCGAATTAGCTGTTATTGTCCTCCTCGCCATGTAGGATTCCTATCCTGCTCACTAAAAGGATCCTTACCCTTTTATATATGGATAATCATGTGCCCTGGTTTTGTTTCTCTAGAGAACCCCGCCTAACACAATTGGCTTATTCCAAACAAAACCTGTTTATCATGCTACTGTGATCAGCGAATGGCTGCAGACAAGTTCTCTCAGTACGTCATTTGGCTTAATCTCCTTAGGTGCCTTAAAAACATGTAGACTTGCTTTGTGTGTTGACGGTCTCCTCCCGTCTTAGTGGCTCCCAGAAGGTTTTGGAGATCTGCACAGTGAAGTTGCCCTCATCTGTGGTGATGGCTGTGTTTGCTGTCCCCCAAGCAGGGGAGGGGCCCCGGCTCTGGGTCTTCAGATCATGACTGAACAAATAGGCTGTGGAGGGACGAGAGCTGACCTAGTACAACTTTTCTAATGTTGTCTCAAGTACTTGCCCGGCTGTTGAGGAATCCCACGATGGCCCTCCCCTCAGTAGACTTCCACACTCTCTGTGGAATGCTCAGTGTGGAATGGGACTGGACTGCCGCAGCTGGTAATGCCTCCTACACCATGGGCCTTGCCCTCAAGGTTGGCTGCCTCAGCTTCACTCAGCAATCCTGGCACCCCTGGCCAGGAGGAGGGACCTGCTGTGATCGGCTTTACCAGTGCCCCCCACAGGCGCCTTGTCCTAAAGGGGAGAATTCCTCGGGGCACTTTCCTGGCCTTTTGTTTTTCATCACCAGTCTCGTTTTCCTTGTTCAAGCTTCTCCATAATGAGCCTCCGTGATTGTCCTGTGTCCTTCAAGGAACTGCCTCTGTGGAATGCTCAAGAACAGTCTCCATGGCCCTTGGAGCTGACCTCTCTGTCTCGGATGGAACTGACCCAGCCGATGCCCTCGGAAGCCACAGCTCTGAGGGGCCCTTTGTTTTGGACAGACCCTAAGGAGAGACCCTAAGGAGACTCAGACCAGTGTATCACTGAGAGAACCTGTCGCAGTTATCCAGTGGTCACAGAGACCTGTTTCAACAGGACTTCTTTGTGGTAAACTTGTGCATGTAGAAACCTATATATACATATATTTGGAATTCAGGGCAAACATCAATTTTGGAACAAAACTCTAGTTGATATCTTCCCAAATCATTAAAGCTATGCAGGGAGTTTATGGGAGTCCTGCCCCTCAAAACTGTATCGAGGTTTTAGATGTGTCCAGCATTTGAAGGAAGGCCAGGGAACTATCAAAGGTAGCAAGGACAGGAAGACCACTGATCCCAAGGAACGGAGAAACGGTGGCTGAAGTGCGGAAAGTGGTGGAGGAACCACAAACTGACCATTGATATCCATGGTCACCTGCTTGGTGGTTTTAATTTTAAGCCCACATGTTGGCCTCCGCAAGCTTTGGGGGGGTCGGTAGGGACCCAAAATGTCACGCAGAGATGAGTTCGTCCAAGAGCTGATCTTTCTATCACTCTTTCGAGCAAGAAAGAAGCTAGTGAAGATGATTTCATGGAGTGAGTCATAATGAGAAACAAGTCTTGGATTTACCAATACAATCCACAGAGCAAGGTCCAGTCAAAATATGGGGCTGCTGAGCGGACCTGCTGAGTGGACCTGCTGGATCAGCTCAGCTCAAGGCAGAGAGGTCAGCTGAGCAGGTGTGGGGAGTGCTTGGGGATCCCTAAAGGGTCCTCTTGATGGATTTTCTCCAAAGACACAGGATGGTCTCAGGGGCTGATTGTGAAGAAGCTTTAAGAACACTGAAAACATCACTTGGAACGAATAGTGCAGGAAAGTTATGTCGAGGGATGTGTTTCCACCACGCCAGTGCCCTTGCTCCTCCTTCAAGGACAGCCCGAGTGTTCTACACGAATGTCACTAGAAAGCTTACGCCATCGCCCTCTGGCTCTGCTGTCACCCCTGCACCTCAAAGCACTCTGAAAAGGAAAATAATGTGCGTTCCCCAAGGCTGCTAACACCACCTTTTTAGTGGGGCGTCACTAGAGGAGCACAGAATTATTTGGGAAAGAATGAGATTAAAAAAACAACAAAACAAAACTCCTTTAGAAGTGTATCCCAACCTAGATGGAAGCTGTGTCAAGAAACACTAGCTTCACATTTTGATATTTTTTGTTGGATAAAGGTTTCTATTATTTTTATAGCAATACTATTATTTTAGCTTATTTCATTGCATTTGAAAATAACCCCCAATCACTTAACCATTTTCCTACCAATGAATATTTGGGCTGTTCCTAGTTTCTGTTGCTGTGAACAGTGGTCTGTGCTTCTCCTTAGTGCCCATGTACAAGAGCTTCTCCAGGGGTTCTGCCCAGGAGAGACCAGTAACACCACAGAGCTCTTCCGGTACCAGAATGTCTGTGTGTCTGCTTGTTCCTGCAGGTCCGGAAAGAACGTGAATGAAACTGTCTGTGCGGTGGCCCCAGTCCCAGCCTTACCTGGCATGGTAGGTGCAGTGGTAGGTGCAATGCCCCCGCACAGCCTCATCTGGCATGGTAGGTGCCTAGTGCCTGGCATTCCTTCTCAGTCAATCTCATTTTCTTCCTTTAAAATAATATTCTCTGAAGACCTACCATGTGCCAGGCCCTGGACTAGCTTTGGGGTGTACAGATATGAAAGACAATGTGCCTGCCCTCAGGGAGCTTCCAGTTCTCTGAATTGAAAAGGCTGACAAGTCACCAAGCAATCTCCCCCACTGCACCCCTGCTGGCACAAGAAGGGCCATGAAGGATTGTGGGGTAAATGCTGTGGGGCAGAGTCTGGGCAGTCAGCAGGGATGGGGATGGCTCTTTATGGAGGAGCTGATAGCGTCGCTGACCTTAGCTGAGGCAGGGGAGCTAAGAAGGCAGCCACCAGGAGGCAAGAGAGCTCTGGGGGTCCCAGGCACTACGGGAAGCTCAGCACAACCGCAGGTCAAATTTGGAGGTGGTGGTAGGGGGATGACTGCAGGGTGGGCCAGGGGCTAAGCCACAGGAGGCAGAAGGGATGGACTTGGCCTTGCTTCAGATGGGGTTTGACCTGGCTGGGGCACAGCTCGTACAGCGCAGGGATGAGCGTGGTTTGCTGCATGTGAGGAGACGGGTTCCACAGCCTATGGAGGAAGGCATTTGTTGCTGAACTAGTCCCATGGGGGTGGGTGGGTGTTCCTGTGCCTCCAAGTGTGGCCCTCCTGATTACAAGGGACCTGTAGGCTACCCCAAGGAAGTCCAGGCTGGAAAGGCAGGCTCAGAGCTCAGCAGACCCAGAGCCGGTGGGGGCTGAAGCCAGAGAACCCCTCGTCAGAGAGGAGCTGAAGAGGAGGGAGGTCTCCTGAGGGTGCTGCTGGCAGAGGAAGCAGGGGCCAAACAGAGGAAGGCAGGCGAGTTCACAGCAGGGACTGAGAAGCATCGGAGACTAGGTCCCTGAAGCTCAGGGAGGACTACGAAGCTGGACCCCAGGGAGGGCCCCATGCTTCAGCGAACCTTTCCGTGTGGGCGAGAGTCCACAGACTCCCCACGTCGTCCCTTCACTTCCCAGCTGCTCATCTTCTCCTGGGACGGCTCTGTGCGCCTCATGAATGTGGCCAAGGCTGAGACTGTCTGTGCCTTTGCTCTGCCCAGACCCGACCGCCTGGCCGCCCCCTGGAAGCCAGTCTTTGTCGTGTCTCTACACCACCCGTGTTTCCTGCTTCAAGGTATGGAAGGCGAGCATACGGTGACCCGTGTCCACGCCCATTTCCCTGACTTCCTAACGCTCCACCTGGCAAAGGCAGCCCCACCCAGGTCCCTCCCCACCCACCACAGGCCAGGACGACTTTGTCACTAAGATGAGGTCTTTCAGCTCACGGGAGGCCCCCTGGCCCTGCCCAGATGCCCAGCCTTTGAAAACAGAGAGCAGCCCCATGTGCCCACCACCTGGGCCTGGGGCCTTGTGCTCTGTAGACCACCCTGCACCACACAGACCACCGAGAATGCGGGCAGCATGGTGAACCCAGGGTCTGCTTTCTTCCTAGATACCCGCCTAGATGCGATTGAACGCACTGACGCGGCCAGAAAGACCAGAAATTCTATTTTCTACTTTAACTTTGAGGCACACGCCCTCCTGGAAGAGATCTTAGAGAGCTGCCTCGTCCCTCAGAGTGACTTCGCATCTCACAAGGCAGCCTTCCCAGTGCTTTCTCTGGAGAAGAGATGTGAGCACTTCCTTAAGGACAGGTGAGGAATTCTGCATCTACACCTGTTCCGGGTCTGGGCTGAGGGAAAACGGGCTGTGATTGACGGTAAGCCTCTTGGCATTTGAATTCTCCGGCAGAAAATGATGTCGCCATACTCTGTCCCAGGAGCCACACTTTGCCTCATGTTCACATTGGTAGGAAAGGAGTCATGGATTTGGTTGATAAAAGAGAAGGGCTTCCATGCGGTGCAGTTTATCAGTACTATCTTTTCTTTCTCCTTTTAAAAATCCTTCTATTAGAAATCATAATTTAAGACAGAGAAGGACAAATCCAGCCCAGCGGCTGTTTCTGTAAATAAAGTTTTATTGGAAAACCAAAACCAAACCAAACACTGCCTGCCATGGGGATGGTGCCACCTCATATGGGACACAGTGACCCTATAGACCCTACAGGACACGACAGAACTGCCCCTGAGGGTTTTTGAGACTGGAATGCTTCCTGGGGTTAGAAAGCCTCTCTTTTTTCCGTGAAGTTTCTGGTGGTTTCAAACTGCTGACCTTGTGGTTAACAGCCCAGTGTATAACCACTACACCACCAGGGCTCCTTGTTTGGTGACACATTTTGTCTGCCTGATTAGGAGCTGCTTATACTGCAGAGCTGAAGAGTTGAAACAGCCATCATATGACCTGTCAAGCCGCAAATGTTTACTATCTGGCCCTTCACAGAAAATGTTTGCCGACCCTAATCTCACACCCCTCCCCTTGAGCCAGATCACCACTGGTCTGTGTCAGCTCCCCAGCCACCGGTTTGGTTTGTGTGACAATGATGGCTTGGCAGGAGACCCAAGTTCTGTTTCCCGCCAGTGCACTTCCTGTGCGGCTGCCGCCCACCTGTTACTGGTGCTTTGTGTGTTGCAAGGATGCTGATCAGGTTTCAACGGAGCCTTCAGACTCAGACAGGCTGGGAAGAAAGGTTACTTCTGAAAATAGCTCATGAAACGCCTGTGGATCACATTGGCTGATCCGCAGCCCAGGGTGGGGATGGTGCCGATGGCGCCAGACTGGGCAGTGTCTCCTTCCATCGGGCATGGAGTCTGAATGAGCAGAACCGAGAGCTCCCTCGATGTGAGCAACAAGACAACGAGGGTGATGGGTTGCCTCCCCAAACTCCCAAACCAAACTCCCTGACATCGAGTCGATTCCAGCTCACAGCTGACCTTATAGGACAGGGCGGAACTGCTCCTGGGGGTTTCTGAGACTGCAACTCTTTATGGGAGTAGAAAGCCTGGTCTGTCTCCCAGGAAGCAGCTGAAGGGTTTGAACAGCTGGCTTTGCAATTGGTTAGCCCAGTGCCTGTGGTCCAGTAGTCCGTGCAGGCAGGAGAGGGAAAGCAAGGAGGGCCACCTAGTGGTGACGTTCAGAACGTCCCAGGAATGAATTTGTCTCCTCGCGAAGCACCAATAAGCACAGTTCTATTCTGGTACATGTTGGGGCACTGGGTGTAGCGACTGATGATGGGGTTGCCGCTGGTGATCAACTTTATCATCTATTATTTATAGCTGTAACTTTTGATTTTGCGTGAAAGAGGACTCACAATATGTATGCCACTAGTCTGAATGGTTCTAATGCTGGAACAGTTTCTTCTTTGTATTTTCCTTCCCTATTTGTAGCTTTCCTACAAGATGCATTTAGATAAATGGATGAAGATAGGCATGAAGCAAAACGCAAAATTAGAGTGCAAAGTGGGGGGTGGCCCTTTTCTGGGTGTGCCCAGTCACGTGGAGCTTCCTGATGCGCTCTCTTGGCGAGGCTCCTGGAATGAGCTCGTTTGCAAAGCTCCCATTTCTCACCTAATCCCCGCCCTTTACTAGCTGAGAAAGCCATGCCTCAGCCCCTCAGCTCCTCAGCTACACCCTTCACCAGTCCTCAGACACCCCTGAGCCTTACTTTGTCCCCCAAAGTTGCTTCAGCTGTAGAATGATTACCATAATGGAGTAATCCTGCATTTAAAAAATTAGATTCTTTCTGATACCAGTTATCTAGACCCTTACAGAGATGTGAAGAATTCAGGAACATAACAAAGAAGAAAAGTTAAAGAACTCCTAATCCCTCAACCAAAAATCAGCACACGACCAGTGCTGCGCGCATGCGTTCCTTCCAGGATGCTCTCCTTGCTGTCGCTGCTACGTTGAGGGCATATTTCATATTCCCTGTTATGTCTGGCTTTATGTCACTCAAGAATGTCATTTGATGTTTTATTTTTTAGTTTGTCAAGAAAAAATCTCCCTGTAAACCTCATGCACTGCCTGCAGAGTAGCCCATTGGGAAGGGTGTGCATAATTCCTCTCTGATGGTGGGAACTGTTCTGATATAGAGAAGCGTCATTTCTGCCCTGACTTTCCCCAGGATCCAGAATGCCAGAGACCTCCTGGCCTCCTCCTGTCCAGCTGTCTCTCCCCCCTGGAAACACAGCTTAACTCCCTCTACTTTGTCACACCCCACTTCCCTCCAGGAAGACCCCGTAAGGTTGGGGTGGAGAGGAATGCCTGTGAGAAACTTTCTGTCAGGAAGAGGGCTGGCACTGAGGCTGACCAAACCTGGCACTGGCTTTGGTGAACTCTGGGCTCTGGGGGAGCTAGGAGTCCGCAGCGGAGGACTGACTGGGAGGGGGCACCGTGTGTGGTTGGGGGCACCCTTAGGGATCTGATTTGAAGAAACACTGGGACCAAGTCACAGTATTCACATAACATCCCTCATGACAACCCTATCCTGAATCAGGTTCTAGAGAGAAGTTGAAAGATAATGATTTAAAGAAACTGTTTCCTGTCCTGCTTGCTCTAAAGTCTGATTTCTGGGTCTTTTCAAAAGAACACTCTTCCCTCACCCCTAACACCACCCGATGAGAAATGTCAACTATAAGGCAGCTTTGGGAAGAACTTTCAGTAATCATCCACGCCCTGGATCGTCATTAATGTTTCCCACAAATCTCTGTCCAGGTCAAAGGGCTTTCATTCCCCTGACCTCCTCACCCCCCTTCTTTTTCCTCGGGCTGAGGCAGGCTCCTGTGGTCCAAAACAAGGTGAAACTTTAAGGTAGTTGATCATGTGCTAATACACTGAAAGTTTCCAACTTGCAAAAGTCTGTCCCAATTGTTGTGCCACTTTCGTCAGTGTGGAAGGAGCCAACATTCAGGATTTTGGGAGGAGGCACCCGTGCCAATGTCTGCCCAGACCTCCTGGTGGCGCCGTTTCCACCCGACTCTGTGTTGTCTGCTTTACTGCCCAGCATGGCTGCCTGGGTCATCCTTATTTTGAGGACAAGAAGAGGAATTTCAGGACACCAGTAAGCAGACAAAAAGAAGGGACACCCCCCCCTTTCCCTGCAAACCAATCTCACTGCCACAAACCAATTCTGACTCATGTTATGGGAGTAGACTGCTTCTTTCGCTGGTGGAGCAAGTGATAGGTTTGAACCACCAACCTTGCCATTTCCAGCCCAATGCTCACAACACGACCTTCTCTCCCTTTATCTCTGGCCAAATGCAAGGCCAAGGAAGCCGCAAGTTCTGTCTATCTGGCTTTCTTTCAGAAGGTGGGTCTCTGGGATGGCTGCCTGACCAGCTCCCTTGGCAGAGGGTGGGCAGCTGTATGACCAGCTCAAGGAACCTCATGGCTCCCTCCCCGGAACAAAAACACACTGTCTGAACTGAACCACAGCTTCCCCTTTATCATAAATACGATCAAGAGCAACGTATTCAGACTGTTGAATGTGAATGAATGAGTGCAAAATTCACTTCTTTGTTTAAGCTGGTTTTCATGATTTCCAGGCTTTGTGTGTGTGTGCATGCTATTTACTTGGGCATTCTATTTGAAAAAGAATCACAGTCCCCATAGACGTGTTTTCACTCACTGAGCAAACCAGCACCACTGTCTCTCCTCTCAGCGGTGCCCCATCCTGTTTGTCCGAAGCTCGTAACAGCTCTCCCACTCACTTCGGGCCGAGGCAAAAAGTAGGGTGGCACCTTCCTCTACTCCCTCTCCACCATGTCCTACCCCTCTTCCTTCTCTACCTACTAACAGGGCCAACCGCTGCGTGTGCAGGCTGAGCATCTTTGAGTTTTCTGTCCTGAACATAGGCTTATTTGTTATTCTTCAAAACAAACCACTCTAGTTTCGCAAAGCCTCAAGTAAAACATTTCATCTCTGGGCAAGGTCGATCTCCCCTTCCTTTCTGGGTATTCGTTGCCCTCTAAGTGCACAGTGATTAATGACCTGTTGGACTGCTAACTGCAGGGTCAGCAGTTTGAAACTACCAGCTGTTCTGTGGGAGAAAGTGGAAACTCTCTACTCCCATCAAGGGTAGCAGTTAGAAGCACATAGGGGCAGCTCTGTCCTGTCCTACAGGGTCACTGTGACTGGGCATCAATTTATAGCAGTGAAGTGCATCGTGCTGCAAATGATCCTCCACTCTGTCACCCTTGCTCAGCTGACAAGAGGTGCTGCTGAAGAAATGTTTGCTGAATGGATTTGTTGACATTCTGATATATTTAAATTGAACTTCTCTTCCCTAAGTTCACCGCCCCGGTCTATGCCCTCACGGTCTAGTGTGCTAGATTTATTAGTGCCCGGTACACACCAGGCTGAAGCCAATGTGTCATCCCGGAGTTTTTTAAATTAGCCCCAGGGTGGTTAAGGTTGGCACAAAGTGGGTCCCTCTCCTCACCCATTGTGTGCCCACAGTTTCCAGAAGCTGGGGAAGAACACGGCACGGGAGCAGGAGCACTGGACACGGCTTCGACGGTACTCCCTGGTGCTGCAGAAAGGGGGCTCCCTCAAGTGACTTGGCCTGCGGGGGAGGCGCCTGGAGTCAAGGGCACCTGTGGACCCAGCACAGTGACAGCTGCTGAGCTCCTCAGGCCCTAGGGACCTGGGTGCTGTTTTGGAGGCCTTCAACCATGGAACCTCTTGTCAGAACCCTTGGGTGGGCAGAATGTATTGCCCAAATAAACAGTGGTATTGTTTGCAGAAGCCAAATCTCTTTGGCTTACATCTCATTATTTCCACCCTATCCTGACCCCAGCAGGGCCCAGCTAATGAATCTGACTAGAGTCCCAGGCCTTCTGAAGGGCACTTGCCTTATAGGTCTGGGAGATCCACTTTCATCAAACGAGTGAGAACCCCAACATGCTCCAGTTGCTATAGGGCCCTCTTTCCTCTCCATCCACTTTATTCTCCACTCCATGCTCGTTCAAAATCTGTACAGAATTGCGCTGAAGTTTCCAGGCTCCTCAAGGTTGAGTGACTGACTGCCGGAAGCCACACAGGGGTGAGAGGCAGAGCTTGGGCAGGGTGTCAAGGCAGAAACGGTGCTTCTCTGTCCCCTCCTGCTGGCTAGGGAACCCTATAGGAGGTTAGGGGCTGAGGGGCTCTTTCCTCTTCTTTAGAAGCTGCCCTTCCCGTCAGAGACTTGGACAAAGGCTCTGGTCCTCAGCATCTCAGAGAGGTCTGCCTCTCTGAGGACACCGTGTGGTATCACTGAGAACTACAGATGGCTAGCCATGTCTCTGGCTTACCCTCCAGCAGTGGTGCTCAACCTGTGGGTTGCGACCCTTTGGGGGTCAAATGACCCTTTCACAGGGGTCGCCTAAGATCATCGGAAAACACATAAATATTTCGCAGTATATAATTACCTATTGTTTTGTGATGAATCACTATGCTTTATGTTCAATTTGTAACAATGAAAATATATCCTGCAGATCAGATACTTACCTTATGATTCATAACAGTAGCGCAATTATAGTTATGAAGTAGCATTGAGAATAATTTTATGGTTGGGGGGGGGTCACCACCACATGAGGAACTGTATGAAAGGGTTGAGAACCACTGCCCTCCAAGAACCCAGCGCAGAAGGTAGCTGTGCTGGCTGCGCCATCTGTCCCCTCCCCCAGCCCTGCCTCCGCCACACACAGCCCCTCCCTCATGGCACTGATATGGACTGACTGCCCCTGAAGCAAGGGGCTTCCCCCAGATGCTCTGCCCTCCTCTCCTGCAGCATGAAAACACAACAGCAAAAAACAAATCTTTACAAGGATTCCTTCTGGTCCGACCAGACTCTATACCACAGGCGAAAATCCAAAGATCAGAGAATGAGCCAGATGCAGGTTCCAGACCCAGCGAAAAAAACAAGAAGCAAACTTTTCAACAGTGCCCACTTACCTTGGAAGCAGGCCCCACCTCTGAGGAGACAAGACATCCTTTGGGTTTATTGGATCAGGGTTTTGATCGGAGTCAGTGTGTTGTACCACCCCTCCCCGATCTTCTTATGATGGATCGGCTGCTCATCACATCCCATATTGGAGGCGATTACATTGTATAGGTCACACATCTGGCGGATGATTAGGTCTTAACTGCCAAACCACTGAGCACCTTGGCCCAGCCACGTTGACACAAAACCTTAACTATCAGAGAGAGCAAATCAGTGGAGGCGACCCGCCCAGGAAGAGTTGTGATAAGAAACCAGCTCTCCCCTCCAAAGTGGAGCACTGCCCGTACCAGGCCACCTCTTCATTTACTGGGAGCTGGGAGAAGTGAGTCCATGTTGTTGTTAGGGGCTGTTAGGTCAGTTTCCACTGAGAGCAACCCCTCTATATACCAGAACGAAACCCTGCCTGATCCTGCCCCGTCTTACAATATTGCTTTGTTTACACCTAGTGTAGCCACTGTGTCCATTCATTCTGCTGAGGGGCTTCCTCATTTTACTGCATGATGTCCTTCCCAAAGGACTGGGCCCTCCTCTCCACCATTGATGACCCTGTGGTATTTGAAATACTAGTAGCAGAGCTTCCAGCATCACAGCGACCCACAGCCACTATAGGCACCAAAGTGAGCCAGGTGGTGGCAGGTACAAGCAAGACTTTATTTTACACCCACCCGCCCCAGCTACTCCCCACCCCACATGTACCATCAGGCCTATTCCAGTGACCAGATTCATATGCAAGGTCCACCAACAGTTACTCCTCACCTCCGTAGCCACATTACCTGAAGGAGAGGTATGAGCATCCACCTAGCTATACCACTGGTGGCTCTGAGGCTAACGTGACTGGAAATTAGACAGTGCATGGTTACAAGGAGCCCAGGTGGCATAGTGGTTATGCATTGGGCTACAATCTGCAAGGTTAGCAATTCAAAACCACCAGCTGCTCCAAGGGAGAAAGACAGGGCTTTCAACTCCCATATAGAGTTAGAGTCTCAGAGACTCACAGGAAGGTTCTATCCTATCCTATAGGGGCTCTCTGAGTCGACATGGATTTGATCATAGTGAGTTTGGTGCTTTTGGTTGGAGCACGTTGCTGCTCTCTCAGTGTTTCACTTCCACGGGTGTTCTGGCCAGTTCACACTGTGAATACAGCTCTGGGAAGGCAGGGTGAGATTGCTGTCCAGGGATGACAGGAGAGCTCTGGCCAGGCCCCCTCTATGCCATCACTTCCTCTCTCCTCTCAGTGGGTCAGCCCAGATTTCCCTGGCCCAAGGCAGCCTGCTAGGGTACCAGGTGAGGGGCAAAGGCGCTGCTCAGCACCGTCTGTTCCTGGAACTCGCCGGTGTTCAGCTGTAGCAAAGCTGTGTGGTTGAGCCCACGGGCTCTGGAGTCAGCTCGAGTTTGGATCCCACCTGGCCACTCCTAACATCTGCAGGGACACAGGATTCAGGCTCTTCCTTACTTCATGTTCCCATCCAGATACGGGTCGTTAACTGTGGTCTCCTCGTAGACTGCCTGAGAGTTGAGAGAAGAGAGCATGTGCCCTGGGCTCCCCTGACGGACATGCTGCATGCCCTGCCGGGCACTGGTTATTGTCATCATTGTCATCTTGGCTGTGAATGGACATGCAGGGATTCTTTCTGGTGCGGGACTGGGCTGGCCAGGAAGGGGTGGGGGTGCCGGAGCAGTGGGAGACAGCCTCTTCCTTTCTCCAATCCTTGTGGCTGCTATTAGCAGGAGCGTGTTAATGAAAATTCACACCCAGGTGCTAATAAACAGTGGGCTGCTCTGGGGCTGGGAGCCAGAGGGGAGGTCCTCTGCAAGGAAGAGGGCTTGCCAATGAGCCCCACTTATCTGTGAAAAGACTTGCTAATAACTTTAATTCCCTATCCTAAAACGCAGGGCCTTTGCCATGCAAATAGATTTTCTAGACTAAGTAAGCCCCGAGCAGACTTCCTGCTCTACCTTAGTTAAGGTCCTGGAGTGAGGGGGGGAGAGGAAGGTGTGGGAAACAGGGACAGCCAGCCAAGGTGTGAGGCAATGCAACTTTGGGATCACACTCTGGGCAGCCAAACGCTAGCCAAGGTGCACCCTAAACTCCAAGGTGGTGGGCGCCACCCTACTCTGAATTTCCTGTGCTTTCCAGGCCTGGGCCCAAGCACTAGAGACGTTTCTGAGGTGGTTGAAAAACGGATCCATTCTACAGAATTTGGGGTTGAGGTGCTGAAAATGTGTCAGAAGTAGACTTTGATGAAGGTCGCATGGCATTGTGAAGCTAATTGTTGTTACTAACTGCCTTAGGGTGGCCACTGTGCACCTTCAGAGCTTGGGCCTGATCGCATGTAATTTAAGTGTAATCAGTGCCATGGAATTATACACTTACAAATGGTCAGGATGGCATCTTTTATTTGATATTTATCTTATCACGATACAAAAATTAAAAACAAACAAAAACTATCGATGTGTCAACTCAATCCACATGGAAGAAGCACACCAGCCTGTGTGATTATAAATAATAAAATCCAAATCCGAAGGAGGGAATGGTGTCAGAGCTGAAATCGTTCACACCGTTTGCAGAAGGCTATGGATGACAGTAGATTGGCAGGGTCCCCACATGGATGAAACCTCCAGTGAATTCCCTCTGATCATGGTCCGGGGATGCGAAAGGCTTTGCTATCATTCAGCACTGTAAAGTTGATTATGACAGATGTAGTTAAGTTACAATGCAATACCTTATCTTTTAATTTCCCTCGTGGCCCATTAGCTTTTTACTATTTTCTGCTTCCTTTTTGATTGAGGTTTTTCTGTTTTGTCGAGTCGTTGTTGTTAGACTTTGTTTGCTTCCTGTTTGTATTTTGTATGATTTTATGCATATGAAATCCAGGATAGGTAGATCTAGAAAGACAGTAACTGGATAGGGGCATGGTAGGGGAGGGGAGGGGGAAATGGGAAGCTAACAGTGAGTCTGACAAGCAAATGTTGTGAAATTGTGGTGATGATTATACAAATGTAATATGATTGAAAGATTAAATTGGTGGAGGGAGGGTGTGGTGGAAAGGGGGAACCGATTACAAGGATCTACATATAACCTCTTCCCTGGGGGATGGACAACAGAACAGTGGGTGGAAGGAGACATCGGACAGTGTAGGGTATGACAAAATAATAATCATTTATAAATTATCAAGGGTTCATTAGGGAGGGCAAACGGGGAGGGAGGGGAAAAATGAGGAGCTGATACCAAGGGCTCAAGTAGAAAGCAACTGTTTTGAGAATGATGAGGGCAATAAATGTACAAATGTGCTTGACACAATGGATGGATGGATTGTGATAAGAGTTGTATGAGCCCCCAATAAAATGATTAAATAAAAAAGAAAGATTAAATTGTACAATATGTAAATATATGCCAGTAAAACGATTTAAATAAAAATGATCAATATTAAAGGATGAATGGATAAGCAAAATGTGGCAAATCCATATGGTGAACTTTATGAGGCAATAAAAAGGAATGAAGTAGACACATTCTAAAACCTAGGTGAGCCCAGAAAACATCAGGCTGAGTGAGAGAAGCCAGTCACAAAAGATCACACATGCATTTTTCTCTTCCCATGAATTCAGTTGGCGGGCTTGTTCCGTTGTGTGTAGTCATTGTGAGTCGGGGCCAGACCAATGGCACGGAACCACCTTTACATGAAATGTCCAGAGAAGGCAAATCTCTAGAGGCAGAAAGTAGAGTAGTGGCTGCCAAGAACTAGAGGAAGGGTGAATGGTAACT